TGGTTTAATATGCAGTGCTTTCATACAGAGAAGGCCAGAGGAGGAGGAGGAGGTGATAATAAACTGTTACTGTCACTTATACATGTAAGCAATGCAGGTTTTATTATCGCTCTTTATTTTTAATTCTTACTTTCATAAGTCTTGTTTTGTTGTGATACTGTATGATTGGACTGCAGAAGCGTAACCACTGAAAACCATCCTCAGTACAGAATAATATAAGCAGTCTGTTTGATTATATAATATGGTATTGCTGATTACTCACATACTTTAATCTGAGTAATCCCGTCTGGACTACTGTAATTCACTTTATGTGGGGGTCAGTCAGTGGTTGGTCTTACGTCTGCAGCTGGTTCAAAACGACTGTTAACAGGAACTCGTAAAAGAGAGAATATGACCTCTGTGCTGGCCTCACTGCACTGGCTGCCTGCGTCTTTTAGAGTTCATTTTTAAATATTTTGTGTTTGTTTTTAAATGGTTTCACGATCTTGCCCCGTCTTACCTCTCTGAGCTTCTTCATCCCTACACACCCTGTTGGTCTCTTAGGTCAGCTGACCAGCTGCTCCTGGAAGTACTGAGACCTAGGACAGCGGTCCCCAACCTTTTTTGCGCCACAGACCGGTTTATGTCTGACAATATTTTCACGGACCAGCCTTTAAGGTGTCGTGGATAAATACAACAAAATAAAACCAGTACCAGTACCAAAAAAAAAGAAGATTTGCTCATAACACACGGGAAAAGACCCAGGGAAACCAAGTTAATGATAAAAACGATAAAGAAAATAACAATAACACCATTGAAAACCATAAATTTACGGTACTGGTGCATGTCCCCAGGGTTGGGGACAGCTGATCTAGGAGGAAGCTAAGAGGGGACAGGGCCTTTTCTATCGTGGCTCCTAAATTATGGAATAATTTGCCCTTGGACGTTCGAGAGGCCCCTTAACTTAAACACGACTTAAAACCCATTTTTATTCTTTGGCTTTAGGTAAAACTTAGTTTCTCTTGTAATTAAATTAGTTATTAACAAACTAATGAATTGTTTTACTTTTTTTTATTTGGCTTTTATTTATATCTTATTTTATTATTTAGTTCCAATGTACAGCACTTTGTGTCAGCTGTGGCTGTTTTAAAGTGCTATATAAATAAAGATTATGACCATGATGATGAGTTTCCACATTTAAACTTACCTATATATGACTTCCTGTGCCTCTGCTGTGGCAGGAGTGAGCTTCAGCCTGTCCCTGACGAGCTCCACGCCTACAAAGAGACCACGACCCCTGCAGGATGTGACACCATCAGGGTTTGTAAGGTATTAATTTTGCATGTATTGTTTTTATTTCTAAATAATTTTCAGAGCAACACTGTTCTCAGTGGTAGAAATAAACAAGACACTGCAAATGCCTTTGTGCTTTGAAAAGTTTCCCTGTGAAGTTACTAGGTTGCACGTTTAGCCAGGATTTATAGGAACACAGCATAGAAACAGTGTGGTGTTATTAAAGACTGCTAAAGGATTAGTTCTAAAGTACGTGGACAGCTTATCTGCTGTGGCACTGTGTCACATGCTGTGTAAGCGCACCTGATATCTCCGATCAGCAGGTGCTTCTCTTTCTGCTTCTCCAGCAGACTGGTGAGGTATTGCCCCACACGCAGTGCGTTGCCCTGCAGATCCTCTTTCTCAATCACGTCTAGGACGGCCAGACCGATGGCACACGACACTGGATTACCACCAAACTGAGGCCACAGATAAGCAACACACAGAGGAAAGATTACAACCGAGATCAAGTTCACATTTCCCATCAAACTGAAAATCTGCTACACCCTACTCTCCATAAAGGTTTCATACAGTATGTTAAACACATACCTGTCTAGATAGCACATGAGCAGTGATTTTTTTTTTTTAATGTATGTCTGGTAACAAAAGAGAAACTCAAAAGAGAAACTAATTTTCTGATGAAAATACATCCTTAGTTTTTTTTTTCATGGGAAATAATTACAAATCAAGACTCAATGAGAAAAACGGGCTGTCTTGAATGCAGCATATTTCCACATCATGGGAAAAACAGATGTGTGGATGTGCGTGGAAGCTCTGGACAAAAA